ATGAATGCATTCAAGTAGCATGGTTAGATAGGGTTACAAAACACATATACAGGATTTAAGCATGACCCTTAAGGTCCTCGGCAAAGTAAGGTTCAACGATAAGCATCAAATCTTACTGAAGTAAGGCTCAAAAGCATAGTCAGACATTTTGGACAGCTTTTTCATAAAAAAAGGCGGGAATTAGTTAGCCCTAAGTCCTGGTATGGTGCTGTGGGTTAATGCGCTGGACTGCAGAATCATTTGAGTGGCGAAGTGAGTGGTTCAAGGTCACCAGCTACTCCTTGGAAACCCTATACAGGGTTGCTATGGGTCGGGATCGACTGGACGGTACTTAACAACAACAATTGTTGTTGCTGGAGTCCTGGTATGGTGCTGTGGACTAATGTGTCTGACTGCAAAACCATTTGAACTGAAAGGTTGGTGGTTCAAGCTCACCAGCTGCTCCTTGGAAACCCTATACAGGGTCGCTGTGGGTCGGAATTGACTGGACGGTACTTAACAACAACAACAAAAGTTGATTGTGACTCTGAGGCACAGCAGCCCTGTATAGGGTTTCCAGGTCTGTTTATAGCTGTGACATCAGACAGTCTCCTCTTTCTCCTATGGAGTGGCTGGTGGGCTCCAACCTCCGACTTTGTGCTTCACAGTTCACTGCTTGATTTACTCCCTTTAGACAGTGAGCTCCTGGAGAAAGAAACCACGTCTCTCTTGTTCAAAGTGTTGTACCTTCATCATGGAGCGCAGTGCCTGGCACAGAGAAGATATGTGAGACTGAGTATTCTGAGAGATATGTCAAGCTGGAATTAGATGTGCATGGGGGGAAACTTGTGAAGGGAAAATGTGGAGGGAGCTGAAGGAGCTGAAGGTGTGACCCCTGTGGCGGAGAACGAGTACCGATCAAGGACAACTTTGGCATTGTCAATGGAAAGTTCTTGAGCCAAAGTCCTCTGTCAGCAGAGGTCCTGTGTGGCCGGCCTCCCAAGCCACATGGTGATGAATTCAGAATGTAGAAATTGGGGCCATTAATTCCTTATGCTCCCCACAGTAGAAGATGTAGGATGTACATTTTCATGCCTACAACAGAAAGTATTTGAAAAGAGAGTTTGAATAAAATGGCAGTTGCAGAAAAGTGAGGGGCTTGGGCTTTACTGTTTACTAAACCCTAATATTTTCTAATATTGATGGAGAAATAAAATCATGCAACTCTGCTACCGTAGTGGTTACGAATAGGCCTGCTAACCTTAAGGTCAGCAGTTTGAAACTACCAGCTGCTCCGCAAGAGAAAGATGAGGCTTTCTGCTCCCATCAAGATTTTTAAAGCCTCGGAAACCCTGTACAGGGTCTCTGTGGGTCGGAGCTGCCTGACAGCACTTAACAACAACAACAACAACTCTCTCCTACTACCCTCAGATCTCTGCTCAAATGTTACCTAATAAAGAAAGCCTTTCCTGACTACTCTAGGAACGATTGCCCGTCCATGACATTATCTAGCTCCCTCACTTTCTTTTATTTTTAAAAAGTAATAGCTTTATTGAGGTATAATTGATATACAGTAATCTGCACATAATTTTGACATATACTCATGCATATGCCCATTAAACATCACAATGATCAAGATAATGAATGTATTCGTCAACCCCCAAAATTTCATCACTAGCCTTGTATCCCCCCCCTTTCACCCTCTCCGGACCCTCTATCCCTTGCCCCAGCAACAGCTGAGCTTAAGTCACCTTATGTCACTAAAGATTAGTTTCTAAACTTTCTGTAAGTGGAACCACAGAACCTGCACTTTTTAATCTGGCTTCTTTCACTTAACATAATGCTTCTGAGGTCTGTCTGTATGATAGCATGCATGGGGTTAATGCGCTGGACTGCAGAGTCGGTTTCAACCGCAAGATCAGCAGTTCAAGCTCACTAGCTGCTCCTCGGAAACTATACAGGGTCACTGTGGGTTGGAACTGACTCCACGGCACTCAACAAAATAACAGTAGTCCCTTGTATGTACGTGCCAAAGTTTGTTTTCTTAACTTTGTTTAATGTTCCTTTCTCTATGATACTACCACATGACATTTTATCTATACTCACATATGTGTGTGTGTTTCTTGGTGGTGCTGTTGCTGTTTGTTTTAATGTCTTGAGAAGATAAGTTCCATAAAGGCAGGGAATGTGCTTTGTTTACTGCTCTAACCACAGTGCTGACTCTGGTAGCGTAGTGGTTACTAATCGGGCTGCGAAGCGCAGGGTCAGCAGTTCAAAACTACCAGCTGTTCCGTGGGAGAAAGATGAGGCGTTCTGCTCCCGTAAAGATTTACAGCCTCGGAAACCATGTGCAGGGTTGCTATGAGTTGGAACTGACTCCATGGTACATAACCAACCAACAAACCAATAAATATTTAGTGAATGGGTCTCATCTACTCCCATGCTTCCATTTTATTACGTATGCTGATGACATTCTTGGCTGTAGAAGTATGTTGTGCCACTTGTGAGGAGTTGAGAATGACAAACAAGTAGGAACATTTGGTGAATGCTGATCATGAACTGAGATACAGAATAAAGGAGGTGAAACTTACATATGTGTGTGACTGTGTAAGAGATACTGGCTGCATTTAGTGTCTTATATGCTGAATTTGAGATTCCCCTAGGGCAGCTGAAAATGTGGGGTTCTGGAACACTGGGAAGAGTTGGAGGGCTGTATAAGGCAATGGATTACCTAAAATCATTCAAAAAGAAGATTTAGAACAAGGGAGAGGGCCAAAACTACTTCAGCAATACGTAGAAAAAGAGGAAACAGGGAAAGACAGATACAGAATGGCCAAAGCAGCTGGTGTGTGTGTGTGTGTGTGTGTGTGTGTATGTGTGTTAGATAGGGTTTTGGAAGGGTTAGTTTCACTAAAACAAGGCATGTAGTGTGTTTTAAGCATAGTGTTTTAGGACGAAGGATTGGTCAACTGTGCATGATTCTGCAAAGGGTCACATTAGATGATGGCTGAGAAGAGGGTTCAGATTTCCAACTTTTGAAAGAGGTGACATTGTTCACTCAATCAATTATTATGGGATGCAAGCTTGAAAAACCATATTGCTCACAAAGGAAATAGAGGTGACGTATCTTGGTTCCCAGAGGGACAATAGGGTCGATATTTGTGATGGAGCTCGAATGTTGGGGTTAGGAAGAACTTTTGTAATGATCTGAATATTAACATCAGAAACTGAGATCACAGATCTCTAGATGTTTCCTCTGTGACTTCTAGTTAAAACAACAACAACATTTTAATGTGACATTGAAACTGTAACGTCATATATTCCAAAAAGCAGCATTAAGCTGGCTAGGCATGCATTTCCTTTGGAGTTTGAAAGTTGTTTCTTGGTTGTGTTCTCAAACATAAATTATAATCAGGAAAAATAAATTGTAGGAGTGAAGATTGATCTTTTAACAGACAAATTAAATATCGGTGTTCAATGACGTTATATGTAGTGCTATAAATTAGTTTATGCAGAATTTATGAGTCAAACCTAGGCAATTAATTCTGATGGTTATTCAAAAAGAATCAGTCATAGGGTAATTGGGAGAAAGCAGGGATTCGTTAACATAAACGTTAATTTTGAATAATCATGATTTTACTGTATTCTAAGGGAAATGCATTGTTTTGCCCTGTTTATGTGTGTGTATTACATTCTGTTTACTGAAACGTGAAAAACTTGTTGGTTTCAGGATCAGATTTGCAAGTATGTCTCCCCAAGGGCCCAACATGCTGCTCCAGAAAGATGGAAGAAAAATACCAACTAACAGCACGATTGAACATGGAACAACTGCTTCAGTCTGCAAGTATGGAACTCAAGTTCTTAATTATTCAGAATGCTGCGGTTTTCCAAGGTGAGTCTGAGGGATCATTTTAGATGTGCTGCTGAATGGCATCATTATTTGTACCCTGGGTTTTCAAATGTGAAGTATAATTTATAAATTACCATTCCAGGATTAATACTTGATACAGAAACCTCCCAGGGGGAGATTCCGGTGCAAGAAAAACATGCTTTTTCAGGGAAGCTTCCTTTAGATCCTTGGAAAGGTGGGTAATGTCAAAAATCATTGTCCAAGGAGGTTCTGTTGGTCTCTATAGAAAGGTTGTAAACATCTGTGGAGAAAGTAAATGATACTTTAGCCAGTCCATAATACCTGGTTTAAATAGGAAAAAAAAAAAAAAGTAGAAATGTAAACACCAAACCCGTTTTCTCCATGAATGAAGTAGGCCCTTAGGAATATGCGAAAACTCTCTCAGACCACTAGGACCATTTAAGAGGGAGAAATCTGCCTGTTGTGCTGACAGTTTTCCATTTGTGTGAGTGGCTTCTCTGTTTGTGAGTCTAAATTCTTACTTTGCCTCTGTATGCCTATCACAGAAGGTGCTATGGGATTGCTCGAATGGGTGGGAAGTTCAGTTTTTCTTGGCTGACCTTTAGGACTATCATAGCAGGCTGAGGAGAAAGAGAGAGTTAAGGATGATGGTGATGGTGGTGGTAGTGATAACAAGGATTTCCCTAGAACTTTGTGCTTGATGATTCTTTCAAATCAATTCATTTGATCCTTACAATAACCCTGAAGAAGCACAGGTATCATTAATAGTATCTCCATTTCTTTTATGGATCGAAAAGCAAGGCACAGTATGAATGGCAAAGCCAGGATTTGAACCCAGGCAGCCTGGTTCTCAGCGTCTGTGCCTTTAATCACCTCATTAGACTGGGAAAATGAATCATTGATATTGGGGCTTTGTCTTCTACCTATTCCGGCAGACGAAATCAGCTGCCTTTTTCTTGCCCTACAAAGAACTGGGGTCCAAAAGAAAAAGAACACTTCTGACTACTTGGCCATTGCAAAGCTTTTGATTTATGGTACCCTTACATGAATTCACCTCTTTGAATTGTGAGGTGGGCTGATTACAGCATATTTTGTGTATTATAATGAAATTCTTAGAATTAACTAAGAAAATTATTCTAATTAGCGAATAAAGCATACATTCACAGCAGTTTCTTGGGTCAAAGACTCAGGGGATGTGTGGGGTTGCTTCAACGAAGTATTATATAGAAGCTTGAAGTGTATGTTAACCTATTTGTATAGTCAGACTCTTGTGAAGAGTTTGTTGAGAGTAGCAATTTGGCGATAGAATGAATAATTTAGTTTGGTTTTAAAAATACATGTACTATTCATGTAGTTCTTAGATTGGTTTTGGAGCTAATCTGCTGGCTGAAAGTGGGGTGATAAGCAGTGATGTGACACAAGAATTGGGGGCTCAAGAGACTGTTTTAGAATGGATGCTTTGTTTCGTTACCATAATAACCAGGCCCACAGTTGTTTTCTTGCAACCATTGCCTGATTAGTTAGAATTGGATAGTGGAGTGACCAGTCTGGTGTCCTCATATGCCAAGTAGCAGACATGACTGTCCATCTGAGGGCCTATTGTGCATTCTAAACTAGGAGAGAAAGGAAGTTATAATAAGATTTGGATTTGGATTCGTTTTCAGAGCATGATGGTTGAATACCAGTCATGTGAACAAAGAATGGAAAATGAGGGCAACACATAATATTTGTCTTGAATTGTACAGACAGGCAGAAGGACAGTCTTAACAAACAAATAAGAGGACAACCAGAGGATGTTGGAAGTTGCTGTTGCTGGTGCCCTTCAATCTTCCCATAATTCCTGCTCAGTCTATCTGATTTCATTTCCTTTTCTTTTTCTTTTACTTCTTTGCTCTTCCTGTCTCCCCTTTAGGAAAACAATAACAACAAAAACCCGTAAACAAGAAGGAACCTTGGCCTCAGATTCATGGCACTTATGCCATATTTGGAGAGACATTGCCCCTAAATCCTTTCTGTAGCAAATATTTGGATAGACGTGACTAAAATATATGGGAAAACCAGCAACCGGCTAAATGTAGATGTATTGTTAATTACCAAGAAAAACATTCACTTCCTTTTTCCTTCTAACTACTTATTATTGCAATGAATCTAAATTGGAAGGCAAGGGGCACCTTTTTTTTCACAAAAATATATATCCTCCCCAATAGTTTGCTCATATGAAATTGGATGCGGTGACTTTGTGAGCTGTTTTCCACACCACATGAAGTTGAAGAAAACTCATCTTGATCTTGGCCTAGATCCACAATCTCTTTAGGATTCCTTCAGTAGTCCACATTGGGGGTATTTAAGCAGCGAGTGCTTTCTGCAAATATGTGCACAGTTCCATGAGCAATCCCTACTGCCTTGATTTGGGTTTTATGGCTTCATTTGCAGAGAGCCTTTGCCCCCATAAAGGAGCCCGGGGCCCTTTGCTACAGCGGTTGGAGAGCTCTATTGCTAATGTTGTTTTGATAATGATTGAAGCATTAAAAAAAAAGTTGCTCTTTATTTTCCATCTTAGCATTGCCTCGTTTCCTAAATTTAATTTACTTCGCTGTGCTTAGTAAAATGGGACAGCACAATCGGTTTTTGTTTCTGCTTAATTAAATCTTTTTGAAAAACTCCTAGAAATACATTTCTTTTCTCCTTTTCTTCTCTTCTACCTAATAATGATGATGATGGTGATGATGATAATAATAGTGGTGATAATAATAATAGTATTAAGTGCATGCTATATGATGCTTTCTTTTATACAATTATCTCATTTAATTTTCCCAGCACCCTATGAAGTTTGTACTGTAATTATCTACATTTTATACACGAGGAAACTCATTGATGCTACAGCCTCTTCTAGGCTATCACGTGCTATGGTTTTCCTTGTTTTTAATGTGCTTGAAGTGAAACAAACTTCAGACATCACAGGATTTGTGGTCCTTGTGAAGAAATATGGGACAAATTAGAATGTTATCATCCTTTCTACAGCACATCCTATCTTCAAACCCTGAATTCTATTTTATTTGCAGGGTTTCACTCTTATCTACTTGGGCTATCTGGAAATATTTGCAGTTGTTGAATGCCATCGAGTCAGTTCCAAGTCAGAGCAAGCCCTTTTACAGGGTTTCTGAGGAGCGGCTGGTAGGTTTGAACTACCAGTCTTGCAGTTAGCAGTTCAGTACTTATCCTACAGCGCCACACCAGGAGTCCTATGTTTGGAGCTATGTCCAGAGTTTTCCTGTTTGTCAGGCGATTCAAGGTGCTTCTGGCTTTGAGTGATACAATACTCTTCAAGATTTCACAACTTGAACTCTTGTTATCAGAGAGGAGAAATGTTGGTTAAGCAGAACCGGTTTTAAGCACCCAAAATGTCATGGAACTCCTGTTGGTGTAGTTGACTCATTGACGAGCTCCTGAGATTCTTGGTCAGTCTTCCACTGTATTCTAAATCCGTGCAGTCTTTACAAGCTCGAATGGCTAGTTTTCTAGATAGTAGTAGATGAGCAGTTAAAGTCGATGAACAGTTAAGTAAAAGTAGTCCATGGACAATGGCTAGAGGGAGGTACATCTGAGAAAGATATTGAAAGAGTAAGGGTAGAGGACATAAAAATGGGCTGAGCACTCACAGAACATGGCAGTTTGGTTAAGTGCTTTACTGGGAACCAAAAAGTTGGTGAATCAAACCCACCAGCTGCTCTATGGGAGAAAGACCTGGGGATCTGTGTCCTAGGGAACCCTATGGGGTAAGTTCTACTCTGTAACATGTGGGGTCGCTATCAGTCAAAACTTCACTACAGGGCACACAGCAACAGCAGTTGAGTAAATATTTCAACATGACTCATTAGCTGCTATCTTAGGGAGCTTCAAAAAGTTCATGGGGAAAAAAATCCATTGTTTTTTTCATTTCATTTTTCCTTGAACTTTTGAAGCCCCTTCATATTGTATGGTAGTTCATAACGGTGGCTGTGAATCAGACCAAAGCTGAAATTATGTTCACTCTCCTTTTCTTAATAACACAAACAAGCAATGAGACCAGAAAGCGGTTGTCATGTTCAGGCCCTGTTTTAATGGTCCTTTCTGGTCCACATTGTCAGGGCAGAGAGAAGGAAAAGTCTAGAGATCTCCAATATTGAAAGACTTCTTCCTTCAAACCTGCTTGCTGAGCAAGAGCTGACTGAGCAAGAGGGCTCTGAACAGGGAGTGGGGCTGTGTTTCTGCTCTGCTTCTATTTCTCTCTTCTCTCCTTTGCTGTTTCCATCTGCTCTTCGTGGTTCTTACACTTTACAATTTTTTTTGTTTGTTTGTTATTCTATCACCTTTGTGTCTCTTCCTCTCCCCTTTCAAAAAAAAAAAAAAAAATGACCTTCGTTAGAACACCTTTTCCATCAGCGTAGAGCAATTTCTCCAGTCATTTCTGCTTGAAATAACTGTTTAGGGGCATTATTCAAGCCAGCTTTTTTCCTTCAGAGTTAATACGTGACTACATAATTGCTTGAATGTTGATAAACATGTTTTTGAGATTCAATCATTTGTTAATTTTGTTTTTGTTTTTTTCAATGGGAGGTTTAAGTGAAGACTGAGTAATTTTTCTCCATTTCACAATTTTCCCCCATGACTAGTGTGACAACTGTCATGCCGGCTGAGTTCCACTGAGTCCCCCACTCAAAAGGCTGGCCATTCTGTCACCACCCTTTCTTCTTTGAAAATTACATTGAGGAGAGAATAATTGCACTGATGCCTAATCAGCACTTAATTCATTTGTCAGGGCTAAATATAATAGCATTTAATGGAATAGAAGAATTTTAGGAACGCAAAGCATGACCAGGAGTGAAGTTAGATATCCTCAAAAATGTAAATTATTAATCAAACCGCTCATCTGTACAGCAAAGCTCCAGTAATCCCATTATAAAAGGGTGAATTTCTCATCAGAGCCCAGAAAAAGCTGGCTTTAATTAGTGTACTTTTATGGCGCTGACTCAAAGAGATAT